GCTCCCGTCCCCGCCGGGTCCTCGAGACCCACCGTGGCCGCAGCTGGGGGACGGGAACCCGGGAGATGCCAACCCGAGCCCGTGGCGTTGCCTGACTTTAACCAGGTTGAGCTAGATGCCGGTTTAGACTTTCTGGAGGAAAAAAAATATTTGACAGTAAAAACCCCAAGTTTCTTTACCTGGTAGGGAAGAATCAGTATTCTACATTTGAATGTAGTAAAAAAAAAAAAAATCAAGGAATCCCTGTTTTCCTACTCAAGGTATTTTGTAACTTGACGGTTCTTTGTATTCCCACTTCCCCTCCCCCTGCGCTGTGCCGGATCCGTAAGTAACGATTGCTGTACCTTTTACCAGAGTTATAAATATCTGGTTATCTTAATATCCCAACAGTTTCCAAGAACTTCACAGTAAGATCCAGGACAACGTTGCGGGTGTTGGGAATAGGTCCATCCTTTCTGTAAGAATTACGAATAAATTCTAGGTTTGGCGTTTTGTGTTTGCTATAGAATTCATGAGCTTATGATAAATGTTCAGTGCAGAGTTCATAATAATTGCATCCCTCTTTATTGAGTGCTTACTGTGTGCCAAGCGCTTCACGTGATCTCTCACATTCAGAACTCCACATTAGGGGAATGCAGCCTTCAGGCCAGTTAGAAACATTAGACTCCACGCCTGCAGATGGTGCAGCTGTAGCCCAGCCCAGGCTGGGTTAGTGGAGACGTGGCTGGACTTTAGTCCCCACGCAGACCCTCAGCCAGGCACCTTGGGCGATGATCAGTTCCTACCACAGTGGACGAAGGGGAGGAATGGTCCCCAGAAGGTATAATTACCCTGGTTTTTTTTACAACGAAGGAATCCACCTGAGAAGTTTGACAGTATCCAGTCCAAACCAAGGCCTCTTTCTGTTTTCACAAGATGCCAAAGGTTTTCTGTTTGTTTTGTTTGTTTTTTTCAAATTTTTGGGCAGCACATTTCAACCCATTTAGAAAACGGAACGTAGAATCATTTTCTTAACTTTCTGGAACATTGGTTTTTTCATGTACAAAGTGTGGATGTTGCAAAAAGACACCTGCACTCAAATGTTTATCACAGCATAATTCACAATTGCAAAGATATGGAATCAACCTAAATGTTTATCAGCTCATGAATGGATAAAGAAAATGTGGTATAATATACCATGGAGTACTACTCAGCCATAAAAAAGAACAAAATGATGTCTTTCCCAGTAACTCAGATGGAACTGGAGACCATTATCCTGAGCAATGTATCTCAGAAATGGAAAAACAGATACCACATGTTCTCACGAATAAATGGGAGCTAAATGTGGGTACATACAGTCACAAAGCGATGTAAGGGACATTGGAAACCAAAAAGGGGGGAGGATGGGAAGAGGGTAAGGGATAAAATCTTACCTGTTGGGTACAATGAACACTGTCCCGGTGACTGGCACACTCAAAGCCCTGACTTGAGCATTATACAGTGTATTCATGTAACAGAAACATTTGTACTCCCTTAACATTTTGAAATTAAAAAACAAAGAACAAAGTGTGAACGTTGGACTAGATTACCACTGAGGTTCTGAGATACCACCCAGTGCGACCACTGTATCTTTAAACAAGGCTTGGTCTTTCAAATTTTATTCCAGAGAAATTCCCTGGTTCAGAAGTAAGTCTTCCAAAAGAAAGGACAGAATGTAGTAAAATACCCTGGTTCCAGCCCTCAGTTCTGACCCAAACCCAAAGCCTCTCCTTTTTTTTTTCTTCTTTTCTCTACACATTTACTCCGTTGCGATCTCATCTAATTTCTTATGCCTTAACTACAGCTTATGCTGTGAGGACTCAGTCTTCTATGTCTCATCCCTCCTTAGGGATTAAGTTCGCAAATCATTGAGCTGTGAGTGGAATTTAAAACGGAGTGTAGATCACCCGGGAAAGTGCAAAGTGAGGGAAGTGGCCAGAAGGAAGAGGCTGGGAAGAGCAGGGAGCGGGGAGTGTGATGCCTGGGGGGGTCTAACACTGCTGGGAGGAGAACAGCTCAGGGACCGTGGGTCTGACACCATGGGGACCCAGGGTTGTGTTTAGTATCTGCCTATCTGCGGAGAGGTTGAGAGAAAGAATCAAAGGGAACTTGTGAAATGAGGGAGCAAAGATAAAATTTTCAAGAAATTTTAGTAGTTAAAGTTGCAGAGAAATGGGACGAGAGCTGTGAGGTCAGTCATTACCCTGTGACAGGTACTATGCCTGCCAAATATTTCACTAAGTGTGTAATTTCATTGCCACACAATTCCGGTTTCCATTTTATAGTAGGAAAACGAGGCACAAAGGAGAAAATGAATTGCTCAGGGACAAATGTAGTAGGGGTAGAGTTGGGACGTGAACCCAGGAGAATGTCATTCAGCCAGTTACACCTTCAGTGTAGTCAATGCCTCACTCCTGCATGACAGATAACTCAATCAAACTTTCGGGTAAATAAAATTTGCATACTTGCCCCAAATATTTATTTGAGAATTATGCAGCAAAATTCCAATATGGCATAAACTTTGTAGAGACCTTTAAAAATACACAATGAGATTTGCTTCATTTTTGCCCTTAGAGAAGTATTAATTATACAGTTTCATTTCAATTAAAATGGAACAACTGAGAGAAGAAAAAGTAGAAAGAAGAGGGAGATGACAATTTTATATATTATACTGAGAAATCAGAGACCTTCCCACGTGGTAGCTAATCCAGTCAAAATAATTGGCCACTTTGGTGTAAACACCGGGGAACTCTGGTTTTCCACAGTTTTCACCCCAACTCACGACACCCCAAACATAAGTCACGTTGTTGGCATCCGTACAGACTAAGGGGCCTCCAGAGTCCCCTTTACAGGCATCGATGGAACCGTCAGCTGTACCTGAGAAAGAAATGGGAAAGAGAAGATCACACACTTCCTTCCATTTGTCAAGGCCACCGAGCCTGCTCCGCCTCCTGCCGCCCCCTCTAAGGCATGCAATGACTCCGGCTTCCTTGAGTGTTCCTACAGGAAATAACAAGGGCTCTCCGTCCTTGTGGGCCCCGCTGGGCTTGCAGAGCTGGAGACGTGCAGGTTGGGAAATACTTTCTAAGTCTTCTTTTACTGATTCCCCCAATTCAGCGTGTTTTTCCTGTGTTCTCTACTCTATGCAACTGCATACTGAGATGAAATTGCAACCCAAAAGTTGCATCAGATGCTGAGTGGGAAAATAATAGGAATACCGAGTGCTTGCTGAGTGCCTGATACGTATCAGTCATTCATTGTTTGACTCCTGACCACAGCCCTATGAGTATCATTGTTGTCCCTAGTTTACAGATGAGACAAATAAGACACAGAGAGTTTAACTAATTTGTCCAAGGTCACACAGCTAACAAATGGCGGCACCTGGACTTGAACCCAGGCAGCTGCACCTCAGAGCTTGTCCTCTTAACCATGATACTGCCTCCTGGCAGATTTGGTGCTATTCACCCCTTTGGTCCACTGTAATCCTGAACTCCATTTCAAGACAGGAGAGCGCTGTCTTCTCACTCTTCCGACTTTCTAAAATTTTTAAATTGCTGTATCCAAGAAGTTGTACGATGTCAATAACTGCCTCTGTCGGTAATACACTATTTGAATGGTTTCAATAAAGCATCCTAAATACACTGGCTGGGACCCAGCCGTTGTGTTGTGTTGGTTAGGAGAATTAGTGTAACCATGATATCAACAGAGACCATGGCATAAGAAGGGCAGTGTGATCTCCAAGGAGGGGAACCTACTTCCAACTGGGGGCGTTTGAGATGAGATAACTTGAATTTTTATTTAGAAGTAGTTTTAGTTTTGGTCCTGGGTGTACCACCTCTTGTCTTCAAGATTTTGGGCAAATTAGGTAACTGCTCTGCCCTCTGTTTCCCTATCTCTTTAGAGCCTCAATTTTCCAAATGAGGAAACCTGCTCCAGGTCACATGACTAGTAATTGGTGAAAACCGGGATATAGATCCAGGTCTGGTTCCAAAGTCCGTGCTCTGAGTCACCTTGCTGGACT